CGGGGGGGGGTTGGCGGGGGGGGGGGGGGGGGGCTTGTGCCCGAGGTCCCCAGGGACATCGCGCTGCCCTGTCCGGTGTCCCCCTGGGGGGAGGGCCCGAGGTCTGGCAGCGCCCGCCCAGCCAGAGCGCTGCAGGGGGAGCGTCTCTGACGGGCTGAGCCTCTCTGATGCCTGTTTCCGTCCCCTGGCAGGTCTCGCTCTGGACCCGGCTCGTGGGGCTAGGATGCTCTATCTGGTTGGTCTGGGTCCCCAGGGACATCGCGCTGCCCTGTCCGGTGTCCCCCTGGGGGGAGGGCCCGAGGTCTGGCAGCGCCCGCCCAGCCAGAGCGCTGCAGGGGGAGCGTCTCTGACGGGCTGAGCCTCTCTGATGCCTGTTTCCGTCCCCTGGCAGGTCTCGCTCTGGACCCGGCTCGTGGGGCTAGGATGCTCTATCTGGTTGGTCTGGGGCTGGGGGATGCTAAAGACATTACCGTGAGAGGACTGGAGGTGGTAAAGCATTGCCGCAGAGTGTACCTGGAGGCCTACACATCCATCCTCACCGTAGGGAAGGAAGTACTGGTAGGTTCACTGAGCTGAAAGTCCTTTCTCTGGCTGTTTCAGACAAAGAGAGATCCAGGGAACTGTGGCTCAGTAACATTACTGGGAAAAACAATAATGCAGCTCGGAAGAACATTAAAACACGTTTGGGAGTGTAAATAGAGTCCTGAAAAACCAACATGTGCTGGATATGAACAAGTCTCTCTTGCTTGTTAATCCACAGGAAATTTCGATACGTCAACATTTGTTTTCATCCCAAATTGGGACAGAGTCTAAATATCAGGGTTTTTCTTCATGGAACAGAATGTTTTAAAAAGTCAGGTTTTAGCAATGCTTAACATTTTGTTGTTTACCTGCATTTTTTAAGGAGCTGCTTTTATAGCAGAGGAGTATAAATTCTATTGTGTGCTTGTATGGCACACAATAACCCTTGCTGGTGCACACTAAAAAATGGTTTTCAAACTTTTTCTTCCGCATTACACAGTGGAAGAAAATTGTTGATGCCCGCAATCCAGCATAATTATATCTTTTGACTAGAATGAGAGGTACAGGGTGGGGATGGGCAAGCAATGAAGAAGGGGACTCAGGACTGTGGCAGGTAATTGGGGTGCAAGGTTACTGCCAATGGCTCCCAATTAGCAGTGCTGCAGGGGTGCTAAGGCAGGTTTCCTGCTTGTCCTTGCACCACAGATCATGCTGTATCCCTGAATTGGTCAGCAACAGGTTCAGTCTCTAGGCAGAGGTGTGCAAGCAATCTGCCTGCTGTTCTCACCAGCATACACTCCTCCCCTTTCTCCCTGCCAGCACTCATTGGCTAGAAGCTAGCTAAAGGGAGTGGAGAGCTGGTGCTGGGGCAGGGGCAGCACTTTCATCCCTGGAATGCTCCCTACCATGGTCCTCCGAAGAGCTGGACCTGTTGCTGACCACTTCCGGGGTGCAGTGTGGTCATCCTGCAGCAAAGCGACCTATGCCTGGGACCCAGTACTGGGTCACAGCCCATACTTTGAAAAGCACTGCACTAAAAGATCCCTACTGCACATTAATATAGTAGTATTTCAAATGGGACTACATTAACATGCACTAAAAAAACTTTTAGTGCCCAGAAGCAGGATCCACACAGGCCAGTTAGTACACAAAATTCTAGTGCATGCTAAACTCTGTACGTTTGCTGTGTGGATTAATGCACCGTGTGTACAAAATCTTGGTTTTGGTCTGCTGAATGTTAAATGGTATGTACCTATGATCGCCGTACATCATGGAAGATGTAGTATAGAGTGCACTCCGTAGGACAAATATGATGGTGTAAAACACTTGAACTATTGCTCCTGTGAGGCACAACTGCACTGTAGGCCGATGTCAATTCCATTTTAAACTATTTAAAACATAATGTTTCAGTTTGTTGATTTAGGTTTAACAGAAACAAAATATTTGGTGGAAAACTTAGGCAAAATTGAAATTTTGTGTGGAAAAGTTTGATTTTTGCAGAATCTACATTTTCCATCAAAAGAAATTCCCCAGGTAGCTCTACATGTTTAATTACCAAAAGAAAAAAAAAGGAACAAAACAATATAGCTATTATTAGTCTTTCAAAAAGCTTTTCATGAAACACCTAATATTCCTAGGGTGAGAGAGACCTTCTCTGATCTTTGATCTTTGAAACTGGATCAGTGATAGGAAACCAAAAAACAGGAATAGATAGCCAGTTCTTAAAATGAAAAAAGTAACCTTAGGACATGGCTGAATGGATGTTAAGACATTCAAAGTAGATGACACCTGGAAATTGGTTGCTAAATGGTTTAGAGGGCAATCACATATGAGTAACAATATAGGGAATCAAAAAAGGACTCTGGCCTGCAATGGATTGCTAAAACGGCCCCGTATTTGTGCCATGCAATGTTGTCTCTTGTACTGGACCTAACTCCCTGCTTTGTGTGTTGCAATCTGGCATATAGGGTCCCAGCATGACTCTTCTTTTCAAGTGCTTTACTGTTGATCTAAAATAAGACAACTCATTGTATTTCTACCACAATGTTTAGAATCAGCCATCTCCATCCTGGTTAACCGCAACAAACCTGACATGCTTTGCATTTAAAACTCGGACTGGCAGGCTCGTTCAAGTTTTAAATGAAGAGCATGCAGGGGAGCCGTCTGCTACCCTGCGCTGCTGTCTCTGATGTAGAGTAGGGATGTAAGTGACTAAGTTGACTGTCCAATGACGAGCATAGGCAAAATGTGTTATCAGCAGTTATGGAAAGGTATTCAGTGGGAAGAACCAGAATTAGAGGGTGAATCTAAAGTGCAAAAAAAACAAGCATCAGCTGTTGGAGTCTCCTTTCTCTGGAAATACTAATGAAGAATGAGCTAAAGATTGGTTAATTACAACATATTAAAGAAATTAATCATAGCATAGGTTTAGTGAATGTCAATATCTGGTTGGATACTGCGGAAAACAAACTGAGACAAATGGAAGTCATCCGCTGTCTCATTTTGATGTTTTTCTTCACTTTCTAGGAGGAGTTCTATGGGAGAGAACTGATTCTGGCTGACAGAGAAACCGTGGAGCAAGAAGCAGATAATATGTTAAAAGATGCTGATCTTTGTGATGTTGCTTTTCTTGTAGTTGGTGATCCATTTGGGTAAGAAAAGGCAACATTTTATTCATCTGGCTGCTTCTAGCCCTTAACGAATGGGAGCACCACAGGTGAAAATAAGCTGGTGCACTGCATGCATAAAAAAGTGGCTGGCTGGGGTTGGGACTCTGACCCATCTGCCTTAACCTGGTCCTTCTTCATGCCCAGAGCTGAGACCAGGAGCAAAGTAGAATGTAAAATTCCATTGAATTAGATAACTGATTAAACAGGGTAGGGGACCATCCCAGCTTGCCATGGCAGGGGCTGCTCTAGCCTGGCTGCTTCTGACTCTGCGCTGGGCTGTCAGCTCCTGTCCCACAGAGGCTGGGAGTTGGCAGCCTCATGTGGGGCCAGAAGAGGCAGCGAGCGGGGAGGTGCTGCCGGTTTCCATCCCACATGGGCTTGTGGGCTGGGAGTTGTCAGTCTCCAGTGGGGCAGAAGGGAGCTGCAGACCTCCCCTTTTCCATGTGAGGCTGCTGACTCCCACCCTACTTGGAGCTGAGGCAGCTGTTAAGGGTGATGTTTACCATGTAACTGGTTATCTGATCACATCCCTAGAGCAAAGCTTTGGTGGTATGGGGCCAGCAGCTAGGACCCTGGCACATAGGGCCAGGAGCCTGGGGTGCTGTAATACCCTCCCCCCCTGCACTCCTAGTTCCCTTTCTATGTCTGTTGTCACTGCTCCTATAGCTCTCATTTGGCTGGGAACAGGAGCAGCACGGGGCAGGGTAATCAAACAGGACTGCCTCAGCCCTGAATCTTTCCCCCCACTATGTCCTACACACATGCACCTCTATCACTCTTCCCTGAGACACGCACTGTGTGATACAACAGTATCTATATTTTCATACTGGTAAAAAGAAATATTCCATTTTCATCAACGGAAGAGTGTCTCCTGTTCATTTTTGTACACATCTAGCTAGATTTGAATTTAATACAAATGCAAATAAACAGTTCAAACTTTATTATCAGTCTTGTTTTGAAGATCTCACATCCAGTTTGCAAAGCATCCTTATCAGATAGGAACATGGGCTCTCGCATAGATTTATATATTTTCCCTTCAATAGTCAAGCGATTGCTATAAAACTAATTGCCATTATCGAAGCTGTCGGTATTAAAAAAAACTATTGTTTTAGATTTTATCAGTTTAGCAGAAGTTATTCTAGGCTATTACAAAATATGGTGCATCTCTTGATTATATTTTAATCGTGGTTGGTATTTTCTGTTGCTTTTTAGTTGAATGCTGGCTGTTAGTTGCACATGCTTATGGTTTTAACTATTCTAGATTTTTGGATGTCTGGGTCATTGTAAATGTCCTTTCAGTTTGGTTTATTAAGTTTCCTATTTCTGTTTGCTATTCCTTCTGGAAGCTATAGCTTTTTTTTCTATCACCAGAAGGATGTCTTTCTGCTTATCTAATCAACCATCATCAATCTGTAATGTCAAGCCATACAGAAGAGCTCTTTGTCTCCAGCTGGTGATCCAAGACTTGTATCATAGCTTGAAGGGGCACAGGAAAAATTAAATCACTGAGCACAGTTTGCTGAGAAGGGTGTTGAGTAGGTGGGAGGTTATAAAGGAGAGGAGTCACTTATGTACATACAAAACCTGGGAATATTTTTTTATTAAATTATGTAGGTATAGTTGATGCTGGATATTTAGAAATCTTCACATAATTATACTTACAATGTCCATTTGCCATTAAAATCAAGGTTCAAGTTAAAGCTAAAGTACCAATAGCCTCTTGCTGTGACTGAGAAATAAGTTTAATGTATCATCTGTGCCCATCAAAATGTAATTGGAGGTTGTGTGGAGTCAGCTGGCCTGCTTCTGCAGATGAGTATTCCAATGTTTTAATGATTAGAAACATATGCTTTTATTATAGCATAGTACTTTGTCTTGGAAGAAGTATAAATAGTTTTCTAAAGTTTTTATTTATATTGCCTACGTTGCTTTTAGGCCCCAATTCTGAAATCAGATCTGTGTGGGCAGTGTCTGGGTAGAGTCCCATTGACTTCAGTGGGTCTCCATACAGGGGGATGTGAGGGTTTCCATGCAAGGATCATTTGGTTAATTGGTGGTGATGTTGTTCTAGAGCATTGGGCAGTATATTATATAGCATTTTCAGTGTTGGTTATCTAAAGGTAGTCTCCCCACCCCAATGAAAGTGTCTTGCTGTTCAAATAGATTGAGCACCCTGAACTTGTACTATCAATATGAGCTGCCAGTGCACAGCATCTCTGAGAGCAGGCCACTTAAGTGCCTCACTATGGATTTAACAGTTTAATTTAGGTGCTCAGATTCAGAAATTTATTCATGTTCCTTTTAGAAACTTTTCCCTCTGGAGTGGCCATCTAAACTGGGGCCAAATCAGTTTGAGATGGAGGAAAAGTTGCAAACAAGAAGGGAAACTAAAGTTCTCTTGCTAACTTGTTCAGACTATAATATGTGAATTTTGATGCTTAATCTGAGGGAAATATGGATTATTTTTAGCAGTAGATATAAAATTAATAAAGCTTGTGACAGATTTACCAGTTAGCAGCCTGAAACAGTCCATGGAGTGTACTTAAGTCAGTCAGTGTTTGGAGTCTCAAGAGTATTGAAGGCAATTTACTGAAGAACAATATTCTGAAATTTAATGTACCCAATTTCAGATGTCTCTTTCTACCTAATTGCTCTACATACACTTGCTTCCTAAGGGGGTGGGTCTATGAGGTGATTGGCTGGTTGCTCCTATTAACCAAGGGCAGAATTGTCCTATCTTGTGGAAGACTCTGTGTGAGGGTAACAGAGCTAGGAAATTCCACAAGTTGACCTGAGTTTTCAGGTAATCCTGTCCTCAAAGAGAGGTTTAGTGAGTGCACAGAGGCGTGAGTGGGCTTTCAGCCCCACAGGTAAGAGATGTCCCATCCTGCTGATTCAAAGGCATCTACACGAAGGACAGTTACGATGGAATTTTTAAGTTCTTATCCCTCACCACTGATTTATTTGCTGTTGTGACTGCAATAGTGGTAGAATGAGTAAATGTAAAACAGAAAACTTTTAGCATTGTGTCATGACTGAAATAAATGCCCACTTCCATCCACTTTATGAAAGTGGTTCCATCACTGCTACAGCCTGGAAATGTGCTACTGGTGCTAGCCCAGTGGCGGCATAGACAAGGGCACGGGACTGACTCTTTCAGACTCCCTGCTGTAACTGGCTGTGTCCCCATTATGTGAACATACTGCCTGCAGCTGTGCTGCTACCCTTGCACAGAGGCCCACTGGGAGGAGATGCTGATTAGAGCAGATTGCAGTAAATAATGCCAGCTGTTTCCCTGTTCACTATTAGCAGATACACACCGTCTCCAGAGCCCTTATGCCATGGATCTGGAGAAAAGGAGACAAGGCTGAAGAGCCAGCCCTCCCACTTGCTCAGTGCAGATGTGTCTCCTTTTCTCATGGAAGAGGAGTAAGCATAGGAGAGAGTTTTGTAGTTAATGAGGGAGCTGTTCAAAGCCTAGATTACCTTACTGCTGTTGTCTGAGGTAACAGTCTATTTGTAGCAGCACTTCCTGACTGCCCGTAATTCAGATTCTTCTAGAAAGTCTGCAGTAGAGATAAATGAGACTTTATCGTATTTTTAAAAACGGACTCTTCCTCCCACCCTCGCCAGCTGCTGCCACATTTGTGTCAATATCCACAGCACCGAGCTGTGCAAGTAGTAATGTAACAAATACATTAATGTTGGGAAGTGGTCAGGCCAGGGACTGAGGAAAGTCTGTGGGAATTAGGCTTGAACTACAGAGGATGTCAGAGCTAAAACAGCCCTCCTATTTAATTACTGAGTTTCAGCCAGATACTACTACTTTCCCTATGGAGTCAGCAGCAGTGACTGAGGTACCTTAGGAGAAAAGGAGTCCGGGTGAAACCATTGTTCAGATTTGACAGCATTCTTATTTAAATGAATGCATTACCACATTTCACTTGTAATGTGGTGAGTGCAATATTTCTTAAACATCTTAACAAGCATGTATACCATATAAAATAATTAATTTAAAATAAAGCGTTACAATCCAAAAATAAGACTATCTGGGGTCTATTTGAGCTTCTGATGCTTATAGTAGTTGCAATCTTCATCTGGGCAAAGCTCCCATTAACCCAAATAAAGATATTAAGAGACAGGCTAATTGTGTAGTTGATATAACTTGTATCGACTACATGATTAGTTGATGAGGGAAGGTGCTCGGTCCTGGCTCACACTGGATTTGGGACTTACTCCCGCTGCATCTCTGCATTTTAAATGTAGTAAGAGCCAGGCTGGTTCTTGTTACATTTAAAATACAGAGCCACCGTGGTCCTGTACCTGTTGTGAGCTGGGACTAAACTGGAGTTGCTCAGTCCCAGCTCATGCGAGGTCCCAGACCTACTTCTGCTGCAGCTCTGCATTTTAAATATAGTAAGAGCAACTACATTTAAAATGGAGAGCTGCTGTGAGGGTAGGTCCCGGACCTGGCACGAGCCAGGACTGAGCAAGTTCTGTTCAGTCTCAGCGCCCACGGGGGGGGTGTCCCAGGGCAGAGCTGTCTCCTCCTCTCCCCTGGACAGGGACTGCTGCCAGAGCAGCCTGTGTTCCCTGCGCTGCTGCTGGGCTGGCTGCAGTGGGGGACAAGCGACACCGCAGACACAATGCTATGGGGAGCTAGCTTTTAAGCCAGCTTGCACCAGCTCCTGTTTCTCCCCCACCCTCCTCCCATCTTTGCTGCCTGTGATACAGAGGCGCGGGGAGGAGATGTGTTTAGTTGAGTAGTCAACTCAACTAACCCAATAAGCCTAGACTTACTGGGTAGTATACTACTCGCATCCCTAAACCTGACTGAGAGTTTTGTCCAAGCGCAAAGATGCAGGGAGTATATATTGACACTCAGGCATATTGAGCCAAACTTAGTTTGTGGTAAGTTTAATTGAGGATTGCCCCTATTTACTTCTGGAGTGAATTTGAATGTTGCTCTTAGTCTTGTAGACTTCAGTACTTAAATATATAAAAAAGAATAGTTTTAGAAGCGAAGCGTGGGTTTTTCAGGTTAATGTATATCTACTTTATATACATGTATGCAAAATGTGTAAATCTTTAAAATATGTTCTATATGCTGTGTAGTGCTGTCTTTGTAACATATTTTCACAGGCTCTAAGTTTCACAGTAATTATAGGAATACTGGATTTATGCCCAAGCTATTCACTGTGCTAAGCAATGCTGACATTTGCTATTCAACAGATGTCCAGCAGACACCTGCAAAAGACAAAGGACACATGGAACTTTCTTTTTTAAGTTGCTACTAGAAGATACTTTAAAAAGTAATAAATATGCTACTGTTGTAGTTTTAACTTTGAGAAAGCAGCGGAGAGCTGTAAAATTCATGTGAATCTTTGCTTTTTAGCTCTTTTGCTACTCATTGTTACAGTAAAGTCAGTCTTATTACCACTGCCCTCTTGGCATACTGAATAGCTTTACTCATGATGCATTTTAATTTTTCTTTCAGAAAAAGCTGTGTTGATGGTTATGCTCAGTTACAGTATTTTGTCCATATAACCCATTCCTTCTTCACCACAGGGCCACAACACACAGTGATCTTGTTCTGCGTGCAGTAAAGCTGGGGATTCCATACAGGGTTATTCATAATGCTTCCATAATGAATGCAGTGGGCTGCTGTGGTTTACAGGTAACTCTTATACATACTGTTCTACAACTGATAATATTAGACTCAGCAGTCTCTGAAATTTTGGAAGGGCTGCATGACGCAATCTTAACTTTAAGGAAGATAAATGTACATTCTGGCCAGTTCTTAGATTGTGTTAGCATTTCCTTTTCAGAGTGTTCCATGCATTTATCATTATGTGACTTGAAATTTGAAAGGCAAAATGCCTGTTTGTGTTGACGTGCATGTGACTAAATGGGTGACAATTCTTGTTTCTCTTCCCCATGAACAAAACTAGGTGGTATTTTCTGGGTATTTCATATGTAAAGCATTGTGTATGAATGATAGTTTTTGCCCTGTCAGCTTACTGCTTCTACGGGCAGTGCTCTTGTAAGGTGAAGTTGTTATTCCCTGGAGAAATATACTGTCACTGGAAATAAAATGGGTACGTACATAGTTGTGTGTATTATCCCAAATCATCAGATTAAAAGTGATATAAAAATTCATCATCAGACACGTTCTTTCCCTGTGGACTTGACCCTCACCTCTTTAATCACCCTCCATGCCTCCAAATTGCTAAGAGATCTTTGATTTTTGTTGTTGTTCTGTCAGGGGGAGTTCAGGTTTGAGAACCATATATCCTGAAATTTAGAAATTAGCCTATTGCATGACCCACAAAAGTTTAGAAAAACAAAGACCTATTTTCTTCAATATTTTTAAATGTATGCCATCATCTATAGTGCCTGTCTTGTAGAACC